TGTGTGTGTGTGGGTGTGTGTGTGTGTGTGTTATATATGTACTGTATGTGTATGTGGGTGTGTGTGTATGTGTGTATCTAGAGTAGGTGTGTGTGTGTATATATGTGTGTATGCATATATATATATATATACTTTTATTTACTCTTATTTATTTATTTATTTATTTATTTAATTATTTTTATTTTTATTATTATTCTTTTTTTTATTTATTAAAAATGTTATATAAATAATTGCATGCTATTTAATTTTTAATGACGCTGTTAGGAGAGCCACTTGATAGTTTTAAACTTGTTTGGCAATCCTTGGAAGGCAGCATCATGTTTTTATTTTATTTATTTTTCCTGAAATTAAATTTGAATTGAATTGTATTCTCCACCCACCCCCAACCTTTTTTCTTTTATTTTCTACCTACCTCTTTTTTCTTTGATTTTTTCTTCTTTTCCAATAGAGGCAGTAAATTATGCCCGACTTTATTTCTATGCATTATCAATGATATCATACACAGTATTGAATGCACTGTTTCCTTATTTGCTGACGATTTAATCTTAATAAGTTCCTTTAAACTCCAACTTCTGATTATACTTCAACTACTGCGCGTAAGCTCGAGATAGATGTGGTCGACTCATAATGGTCTTTCATTTTCCCCCACTAAGTGTAAAGTTTTTAATATTTATTTTGGCAATCAACACGTTCTATTATCCCTGTATACATTAATGGTAATTTGGTTGATCCCGTTGATAATATTAAATACTTAGGTATCATAATTTCCAATAATTTGAAATGGCATGTTCTCATTATTTCTGTTGACAAATTTGCCATGCGGAAACTTTCCATTCTTAATTTTTTTTTTTAGAATTCCCTTTCTACCGAAACTTTTAATCTTCTTTATAAATCCCACAACCATCCACAGTTGAATACGCATGTTCCGTTTATGGTCTTCTTCCTAAATGTGACTTGTATTACTTTCATCGAATTCAGGCAATTTTCGCTAAGATTATGTTTCTTCATTTGAAGTTAGACAGACTTTTTTTATTCTTGGTTCACTTCTAAGATTCTAAAAAAAAACCCAAATCATCCCCTACACCACTTCCTTCCTCTAAGCCGTAATTGTTCCATCTCTCTTAGAAACTCCCGCCATACCCAAATTTATTCGATTTTCTTGTCGTTTATTATGGTTCCTGCCATCTTACTTTCCGCATGCCCTTTGTTTATTTCCCCCAATGAGATAAAAATAAAATTAGGCATTAGTAACAAGTAATGTAAGGTATTTATTGTGTTGATTATGCATAGTTGTTTGTTAATGAGTGGATAATAGCCCTCGATAGCTTTCGAAACAATATCAAAATCTTGAATCTTGATTCTTTCCTTACCTTATGTTTTCCTTTCCTTTCTTTTCACACTTCTTATTCTTTTCTTTACCATTTCCTTTTCCTTATCCTTTTTTCTTTTCCTTATATATCTTTCGATTTCTTGCCTTTCTTTTCGTTTCTTTTCCTTAACACAACACAGGAAGTCTACACGATTGTTAAATATAACGCTGTTCAGGGATACAAACGAGTTACGCTTGAGAGCCGAATTACATGTAACACTTTGCTCCAATCCACATCATTATTATCAAACATAGTATTTGTGTTAAATTATGATTTAATTATCTTCACGCATATTACGATTTCCTGATTAGTTTTATTGTAGTATTATATTTCTTAATTTAGTGAAATATGGGCCTACATTAAGTTAATCTATGTAAGAGATAACACACATTTTGTCATACATTTATATATGCCGTATATTATTTTCAGAACATGACCTTAAACAGTGGTCTGTATTTATTAAAGCTAAATGCTCCGATTCATATGATTGCTTTAGCGGCTTTTTTTTCTTATACAGTATTTGCAAAGAGAGAGGAACAAAATTGTGATCATTGCACAGCGGACAGCGAAGAGAAAAGACCTATCAATTAACTCCAAGTGTAAAGAAACACAATTGTGATTCATCATTTCAGCTTTTAATTTTGTTTATATTTTCCAATAGCAAAAGTGAATCTATTCAATTGAAAGCTAACAATTAGCCTGCTTACAAACTAAACAATTCGAATTTATAATTACATATTAATGTCAAATTTGATTTTGAATCTTTTAAATTATCTATATTTTGTAATGTAAAGGCTAACCAGACAGCGTCGTACAACGCAGCCCGACGCGATTTGTTGTCGCGTCGCGTTCGTGTGATTTAAACGCGAACGCGATGGTTTGAGTCGGGGACAGTCGCGTTGTAGAATATTAACCATGTTCAATATTTCTCACCGTAACGGCTTGAATCCCGGTTTCCATAGAATCGCTCACCCTATCGGCGACAGTCACCGAGAGCCATCGGGAAGTTTGAACCTGGTTCAACTTGCCGATTGCGTTGTGGACGAATCAGGGTGCAATTGCTAGTTGCCCTGACACAATCGGGAAGGCACCCCGATTTGTCTGCAACGCAATCTGCAATGTTGAACTAGGTTCAACCTTACCGACAACAATGGGGTAGGCGCATCTATGGAAACCGACCTTAAGACTGTCCCCGACGATTACTCGCGACGGGCTGCGTTGCTTCGAAAGACCGTGTCCCAACTAATTTCCGTGCCCGTGGTGTCTATAAACTTTACTTGAGCAGGTTTTAACTCCATATATTTTGGTAAAGCCAACGGACACATAGAAACACACGGGCAAAGGAGAACTTGGTTCTGGAGAAGTAATTACATTTTTCAATACATTACAAAATCAATTACATGAAACTACACATCTAATTCGACTGTTTTTACCATTCTTCATTCCGCACAAAAAATACCAACAATTAAAGACGTCTTTACACTGCTGGGGAAACCCTGCACTTAACAACTCTTTATAACATCACTCTTTCATTATAATGAATATATATATGACTTTAAAATTATTCAGGATAGTATTTGTCTGACCGTTACTTTATAAACCGGTAAAGCATAAGCAACATTCCCTGATGATGACGTGTAATACGTCAAAACATTACTGTATATAGTTTACCACACAGACGGTATTCCTTACAAGATTCAAATGTTGACTTAATATATACTATCCGCTGAGAAATATTTGAAGTTAATTCACAAAACATTTTCATGGCTAATATATCTAAAATAAACCACTTATCTAAGAAAATGTTACACGAAATCCTAAGTAAAGTTTTTTTTCACTTTAGTTGAGTTATTGACACAACGAATTGTATTTAACAACGAATTATTCCCTATAAAAAATACGCAGCACCATAATTTAATTCATATCTGATTTGTATTTCCAAACTTAATAGATTAACGTATTCTTGAGGATGACCTACCATCTTCACTGAATTTTTTTTATAGTATAACACATGGTGTAACAATTATTTACACTGCGGCATTGATTAAAATAATAAAACGGCATACTAAACAGTATTCTACATTAAAAATGTAGATAGTATAAGGTTTATAAACCAGTGTAATAGGCCTATATAATTTGGTGTAGGCCTAACATATAGAATTACTTTAACTTGTGTTCTTACCATTATTGCTGTTATTAATATTTATTATTTTTATTATTATTATTATTATTATTATTATTATTACTACTACTACTATTATTAATATGTAATAATAATAATTTAATAATAATAATAATATTTTATTTAAATTTTAAAAATATGTTTTACTATGTTTATTATTCTGCTGGCTGGGTTGGAGGAGTTATTATAAATAAATTCCATCATCGCCGATTTTTATGCTTCAACTATAGACTTGCTAACCTCCCCCCACCCTTTTCACTAGCTATATATGCTTAGGCCCTACTGCTGTCAGTTTCTGTGTGGCTATTTTTAGTAGGCCCTAGCTAAGGCTATCCTAAAGAGGCCTAGCCTAGGTTGTGTCTTCAATTTATGTGGTTATTTTTTATCGGATTGTCAATGCATACTTACGTACGACGATAGAGCCCATTAAACTGTTGTTTGCGATAATTTAATTACAATTTTCCTGGACGATTATATTATTACGCATCTGTAGGCCTTTGATAGCCAAGGCTTTTCGACCGGAATTTTCATTATTTTCAAAGTCTGCGTGATCGCTTTAGCTTGAGTTGCGCATGCTCAGTTGTTGCATTAAAAAGTTTTTTCTCATTTCTATTTCACACCCTCTTCGCAGACACCATTTGGTTTCTGACAACTCGTTTTGGTAACTGCTCGACAACTTCACTTACTTACTGTCTGTCTAGCATTTCCCAGCGCATGCTCATTTTGATTTTAGAGATAATTCGGAGACTTTCTCTTGTAATTGCGCATGCGCATTGCTTAGTTCGGAATTCTTATTCCTTCGTAGTAAAAGCTTCCGCTGCATACAGTTTCTTAATCATTGTTTACTCTTTTTGGTAGCAGTCTAAAAGCACAGCGCGAAAACCATATCCTTTAATTAAAATCTTTAAAAACTTAAAATACAATTGTCAAGTATATTTGTAATACATGTACACTTGTCAATTTATTCTGTTTTGCTTTTGCTAGTATTAATATTTCTTAAAACTAATGAGCTACACAGTTGAATTATTTCAATCATATATTTTGTATAATCAAACATCATGGAGGTACGTTACCATAGCAAAAATCGTTACAGTTTGTAGAGATTAAAGTTATACTCCTGTATCAAAACAAACAAGCTCTTTTCGACAAAGGGTTCACTTTTTATACATTTCCACCTTGGCATTAACGTAACCTGTTTCTGCATTTGCTTCCTGCAGATCTTAATAAGTATGGTTCTCATCGCCAGTATCTGCTATGTATGGCATGTAAGTCTGTCAAGATAAATCAAATATTTCAATTAAAATATTATCTATCGACTATTTTCTTTCTTAATGTTAAATTGAGATGTATTAATGGAAGTAATAAATGTACATAAGGCCTTTCAATAATTTAGTTTATTTATTTTATTGGAATAGGCAATATAATATGAATATATTCTAACAAAGAAAGTCAGAAAAAATATTTAAGAAATAATCATAATATTAAAAACAGTCAGTAACATACACACTACCAAGGACATAACAATAATCTATGTACCGCAAAAGTATTGGCCTGTGGTCGATCGGCTTGAGTGGGTTAGGCCTAGCCAAACAAGGCCTAGCATACCCTTTACCTCTCCTTGGGAGGGGCGAGGCTAATTATATGATAACACTAAACAAAACGTTTTTCTTAGCGCTGCATGCCTTTAGTAATACACTATTAAAACATCAAAAATGCTATTTTTTTTTAATGTCAGAGGGGAGAATCTGAGGATGTGGGCAGAAATCGAGAATGGCCATGATAAGTCAACTTACTTATATTAAAATGATACATGTAATTGGTTAATTTATTAGTTAACTGGTTGTTGGATTAATTTATTTTGTAGCTAAGATATATTATTTATTTAAGTTAGATCCAGGACTACAAACACAGGCTCTGCCTTCTTGGTTTTCGGGCACTTATATTATATTATAAATTAGGTTTATAACTAAGTTTGTAAGTGAATAAAATAGTTGAATACTCGAATACATCGTGTGTATGATTTCCAATATATAACATGTAGTCAGAAGGGAAAATAATAACCCATGCAAGATGATAACATCTCATACAACCAAAAATACAAAGAAAGGAAGGAAAATAAATTCAATTTTAGAAAACGCCATCTTACATTCCTCAAAACCTAAGAATCAGTTTCTGAAGCAATGTTTTGAATAACATTCTAATACATTTTTCTATCACTAAAATATAAAATTACAGGCTCTACATAATAACACTCATTTTAGGTCTCCTAAGACAGGTGTTTAACTGTGTGCATTTATTTTATTTTGATTCTGCCACAAACTTGCATTCTAATGAAAGCTATAGTTATGAAAGAAAGTACAACTGTAGAAGGAAAAGCCAAGAATGTAAAACAATTAAATAAGATGAAAAGAAAGAATGAAAATGAAGTAAAAAAATTTTTTTTAATGGAAACGAAAAATAGAATGAAAACGAAAGGAAAAGAAATGTAAGAAAGAAAAAAGATTATGAATAAAAAGAACAGAAAGGAGAGAAAAAGAAAGAAAAAGATGGAAAGGAAAAGAAAGGTAAGTAAAAGAAAGAACATGAAAGAAACAAAAGGAAATGAAATTAACAGAATTGAAAAGAAAGAAAATGAAATGTAAACTAAAGAAAGAAGGACATGAACAACTGGTGTAACTAGTAACCGTTTGTTGGTATAAATGCAATTCCGGCGGACAACAATTGGATGCACACATTTAAATATGGTCTAGAAGGAGATAGTCTTAACTCAAATAGATAAAGTATGGTATGTAAATAGGGTAAGAAGACACAACATTGAATAAACATTGCACCTATGAGATGGCCAGATATCATTTTTCAGATTATGGTTAAGTAAAATAATAATAATAATAATAATAATAATAATAATAATAATAATAATAATAATAATAATAATAATAATAATAATAATAATAATATTAATAATAACGCCTGTTAAACAGCATGATGAACCAAGGACTTTGAACGGTTACCAGGATACGCCTTTCCCACGAATCGGTAGACATCTTGAAGTGATGACAAACAGCAAGTCAGTGGTGCATAAAAAACAAAAATAAGATAAGCTAGGCCTAAGGAAAGTTTTGTTTATCTGAGCATGTGCAGATTGTGCTTATATAGCTCATTAGCATAACAATACCACACATAAGCTTAATTAAGTTAGACCGCTTAAACCAGCCAGCTTCCTATCCTGGTAACAGTTAAAAGTCCTTGGATGAACGTATACTGCTATGCTGAGGTCCGGCTTAGGTAAATTGTACAAGATTAAAGTATAATAATGTGTAAATATGAAATACAAACTCACATTTTGCGTTCTGGTGTCAGTACTTCGCATGGCTTCAAATTTCTTCTAATAATTCATTATATTATAATAAAAAATATAATATAATTGTAATAAAGTAAGATGTGGGCAAAGAAAACAAAGGCAGGTCATCTTAGTCCAGGGCAAGGCAAGGCAGGTGATAGGGAGAGGAAAGTAAAGGTTGAGATGAGCTGAATTAGAGAATGAGATAAAAAAAATATAGATTGGGATGGAGATAGATATGAAGATGAGAAGAGTTGGAAGCCCGGTTGGAAGTGAAAACAAAAATTAAAATGGGGGATGAGATGATGAAGGTGGAGGTAAAGATGAAGATGGAGATGAAGCTAAAAAAAGATAAGATGGAAATGAAGATGGAGATGAAAAAAGAGATATGATGGAGATGAAAAATGGAGATGGGATGAAGATGAGATAAAGACTTAACTGGAGAATAAGATGGAGAAGATGGGTATAAAACTTGTGATTAGATTGAGATAGGGAGGTTATGGAGATGAAAATGGAGATAAAGATGAAAATAAAAGTGAGATGAATATGGAAATGAGATGAGTAATAAAGATGAAGGTGGAGATGGTATTAGAGAGATGCTCTCTATTGTCAATAACACAAGCACATGTATGAAATCTGGTCCTCCACTGGTGATAATTAAAGATGATCTTCAATTATCACCAGTGGAGGTGTATCTTCATGCTAAAGTACTAGGGAGATTTTTCGCAACCTTACGAAAAGGATAATGAATACGAAAACGTAATTGTTGTTATCGTCATTCGTGCAAAAGGCATGAATCGCCTACTTTGTGACATATATGCTACTGTAGGGGAAGGGTTGATGACGCAACGAAGATGGAGATGGGAAGAAGATGAAATGAAGACTTAACTGGAGAATAAGATGGAGAAGATGGGTATAAGAGATAAGATTTAGATAGGGATGTTATGAAGATAAAAAAATTAAAATAAAAGTGAGATGAATATGAAAATGATA